GTACGTGGACGTGTATCGTATATGCAATAGAGAGGGCATTGCAGTTTGTAATTTGCGAAGTCTTAGTATTTTGTACAGATAATTACGTCCAGAACTATAAGCAGTGGTACATATTAAAATGTCTATTCTATTAGGTATAAAAAGATTTGTACATTATTTTATTTTGCATTATTAAGATAGACGAGACATTTGTATTCTATTGTAAGGCAGATAATATAACAGGGCACGCGTTTTACAGAAGTCACCTTAAAGACACCTAGGCTACATGGTACATATATATGTGTAAAAATGTATATTGCTATTAGTACCTAGGAGGAAATTATAAAACGTTAATCGTACTTTGTTAAAGGTAAAAATATGAGAGGAAAACTTCCGAGTCTCTAAAAACAGCGTTATAACAAAACACAAGAGTGGTTTAAAAAATACATTTCAATAGCAGTTTTTCATAAACTACAAGTTTTGTTTTGTTCAAATATAAAACATATTTTACTAAGCAATTTGGCTTTAAAAAAAAATGTGTAAATTATTCGAAATTTAAATCGTTTCATTTGTTCGCTGAATGTCCTTTGTATATTATAACCAGAAACTCATCTCTCTGATGTAACACGACGAATGTCAAGTTTTTGGCACTCACAATGACAGTTTAGAATTTAGATGTTAAGGCGTCGAGCATTCGACATTTTGGCCATTGACAAGGATTGACGCTTATATAAGTAATCTTCATACCTATTCGGTAAGTCACCGCGTACAGATTTAACTCTACTGTACAAGTACATTTGTACAAAATACAGCCACGGAGATGGAGTGTACAATTACGTTGTTGACCCAATTTTTGGCAACACCGACTGACGGCCATTGACAAAGACCATTTTTTTTAAACTCAGTGCGCAAATCATATGTGAAAGGTATTTACAATTTACTCCGAGAATTAAATTTTTTTTTTTTTTCATAGAAGTCGTACCCTTTAGACAGGTAGTAAGGTTGTGAACATTGATAAAGCTTAACTTTTCAATAATTAACGAAGATATTTTTCGTGGAATATATAGCAAACGAAAATGTATACAACGGGTACTCCTTTTGGACAAAAATTGAGATTGGCTAATTTAGACCCGGGTATACTTTCATAAAAAACATACAAGTCGATGGACTTTTCCGCGGTCAATAGTCGGTAAATGCACATGAAACGGAGTTGAGAGTTATGTAAGGTTTTTTTTTCAAATAAAACGCGTACCTTGACAACAATAACATTAGATCCGTACGTCGGTTGCCGGGTCATTTAAGACACCGATTAATCATCCTGTTCTGACTCTCATCTATATATCCGCGACGAAGCGATACATGTATATCTGTGGACCGTGTACAACCTTGAACCAAGTTCATCATCGTCGCTGTTGTTATTGTAAGCCTAACGCTAGAAGAGCAGCCACTCTTGTTTGTTTCTGTTTTTCAAATACGTCACAATCAAAAATATACAACAAAGGTTACACGTGGAAAAGAAAGTAAATTATAATTAATTCGAAATGAAACGCGGTCCGCAAAGAGCCGCGATTACTTACCTACTAGAGGTATTCTTTTAAAGCAGTAGCGCCGGCTAGTTTTTTTAAAACTATTGTGGCACATACAAAACTATATTCAATAAAATAACCACCTGCCGATAGGCCAGAGAAAAAAAAATTGTTTGTATTGAAGTTGGATAACATGTTCAGACAATAGACAACGACAAAATACATAAGAGGTGAGGGTGGGCTAAATAGTGTTTTTCGTCAGTAATACATGGGAATAGTTCTCGTTTTTTATCATTTTCCAAACCTCACAAACACATAACTCGTATATGTACAACAAATTAGATTGCTAACTAGTCGTTACGGGTAAACTGCGAAATTCAACAAAATGACGAATTGCAAATTCGTCACATGGCTGTGGGCACCTTAGTCCATAGTTCATTTGCATAGGTACTATTATGTTATTTTAAATTATCTAAAGTGAGTAAATCACTTGATGATTTCTATCAATAGAAACGTGTTCTCATACTGCGTCGAATATTAACATGTAAATTATTTTTTAACTCAATGTTTTGTATTATTTATATCTATATATCCCAAAATTGACGCCGTAGAGGTAGTGACCATAATTGCCGAGTTACGTGTACACATTAATTGTCAATTCTGTATTATTACAAGAAGTATACAATAGAAAATTACTAAAACAAATAATATTAAACATCGTACGGGCACAACACATACGACGCGGTATTACACGCCTACATTATAAAGTGAACGGTATTCAAAAAAAAACTCTTATACTTACCTCCTTCTGCTATGTGACATATCTACGCCTTAAAACGGCAATTAACACAAATTAACCGCTATTGTTTACATATACCTACACACATAATTATTTAAAAAGGAAGTGCCACAATAGCTAACAAGGCACGGGTGAACGATAGACTTTAAATCATTTAAATGCTCACAATAGTACGTACTATTTTTCACACAATATAGTCCTAAGCTTGTCACGGACGGATATAAACTATTTTTTTTTAAAAGGATTTGCGAAGAATTTTCAGAGAACTGGATCGCAAGACTTGGTTTTACCGACCGAATGTTGTACTCACAAGTTACAACGTAAAAAGGCCGCTATGTATGATGTACCCATTTGTCGAGTACACGGTGTTGTTGATAACGGCTTGAAGACAATACAGCATAATTGGATTCCTGTCAAATCCAATAAAGAAGACCGACAATAATGTTGAAAAATATATGTATACAAGATTCGACAAGCAGACGAAATAGATTGGCGGCTAAGAAGAGAGCTTTAGGGTATGAAACGTGACTGAAAAGAGTCAGCGACGCCGGTGAATTAACGATGAATATAAAATAACATGAGAGTAATAACAGCGGCAATATGATTAAAAAATAAAACCCTACCGTTGTGTTGTTGTGTTATTAATCAAGTTCAAAGACCCGTTCGGCGAGAAAACGTGTATCTTGGTCGAATCAATTAAATATTATGTGTAACACACACATGGTCGGCATTGGTTCGGGTAATTAAAAACTAAAAAATAAAACGTCCACAAGGATTATTGAAAAATGCGAGCGATTTCTCTAACAAAATATTTTTAACGGACAAACAAAACATGTATTCCGCGAAGAAAGTGACTAGTCAGGGTAAGTAATTATATTGTAACAAACATATAAATATACCGGGTACGTCGGGTCGTTTAACAGATAGGTTTATTGCTGATAAACCAGTTCCTCCCACAAAGCGCGTGCGTTCATTGAGCACACAAAAAACAACCGTTCTTAAAAACAAAAATCTAGACAACCGGACTCCGCAACTAGAAACGTTCCAATTAAGAGCTGAAGAATTTTTGTTTTCAGTGATAGGATTTATACATTTGCTTTCTATACATAATTATTACTACCGATTTTCGAATAAACGGAGACGTATGCGGGAGTTTTATACCGATTTTTTTATAATAATTAATTAAAAGTATCTTCATTTATACTGCTAGGAAAATGCAATTTCTAAAACTTCAAAATCGTACCTTTAACGTTTAAACTAGGATAGTATCATATTTTACTTTTTAGCAATAACTATAATATATTATAATGAAGTACAACAAAACTATCAGGTTTACCAGAACGTAAATTATCCTTCTGTGTAACCTTTCTAGTTATATTCATAAACATGTTCAATAACAAACCTGAGTAAATTTAATTTAAATAATAAAAAACAAATCATTATTTAAGAATAATGAGTTATTTGATATAACGTTTTATTAACTGTCTCAAATAAGTTTGTATTTGGGATACATTTTTATTTGGATGTTTCAAATAACCTGTTATTTTATATAACAATTATTAAATTTTATTATTTCAAATTTTACATTTATCATTTTAGCTTCAATGCGGGACAGAGATGCTATTGGTTTTACAATGGTGTGTTATTTTTCCGTAGGGTGAAATATACAAATGCGTATTCAGCAAACCTTCCTATCATTTAAATACAACTTCAAACTAATAAAACAAATTTAAATAAATGTTTATATTTATTTTAATTTTATGATTTTTAATTATTTTGAGGTTTTGTTTAAATAATAGAAAGGTGTGCTGAATACTCATAAGTATATAATGTCATACAGATCAAAATAATAGAATTGAATACTAAAATAATTTTAGTGGAAAAAACATACAGACAATTAAAAATTTTTTACAAAACGTAGATAAAACATCTAAAAATATTTTTAAAATTTAATTTTGTGCGACTCTGCAGATAAAACAAATTTTTTATTATACATTTTCATAATACTTCATCATTGTGACCATAAGTAGAAAACAAAAATATCTTTGTTTTTTTTAATAATAATTGGTTAAACGTTTAGTTATATTATGTTATTTGAATGGTCGCTCCGTCAAAAACATGTGGATATGCAACTTAAGTTCCATGAATCACCAATGTAATGCCAATACCAAACACTTGATGAAAAAAAGTTGACCAAAAAAATCGAAATGGACAAGGAAAAAAAACCGATAAGTCACAACATCATTCAAATGGCGATTTCAATGTCATAAAACTCACTTGGACAAAATTAATTTTTCTACGTTTTAAACATATTTTTTAAAATATTTTTCCCTCAACTACAGGTACCCTTTACCGATTATCTGTGCTTTTACCCTCTACCCTACAAGTCAAACATATATTTTACCCAATTTTTTTTCTTAAAATATTCAATTGGTTATTTTTGTTACTTGCCAATTGAAGTCGGGTAAGAAATTTGTAAATTTTCATATTTATCAACTTAACAACACATAATAATGACTGGTAAAAAAAAAGTAAGTCCTGAAATTTATCAGAATCTTAAATTTGTCTTACTTATTTCTACTGCGTAATATAATTATGTAAGTTAGATAATTAATTCTATTGTTCTATTGTTTAATTGTTGTACAGGTTATATAATTTAAGTTACCAGGCTAATGTTAATTAAAATTGTGCATTACCTTGTGTTCTTCTGTTTTTTGACTAATTTCGCGACGATTCCAATCAACTCGAAAATAGTTTGGTTTTAACCGCACTTCCATTTGACCCATCCATTGATCCAATGTTCGTAAATTAGACTTTACATCTATGTTAACATAATTAAAAGTACAATTTAATTAAAATATAAGCTAATCAAAAATTAACATAATAAATTCTAACTAGACAATTACTACTAAACATTTCAAGAATTTATGTTTGTTTGGCAACGTTTTTAAAGGTGATGTTCAAGGTAATATTTAAACGAGTTTTTCTGATTTTAAAACAAAATTCACTTAAATATTATAATAATACAATAATATTATTATTTTAAAATATTTTTATAAAACAATTTAAATATTTTTATAAAAAGGTCAGAACTAGAAAAAAAAAATCTCCGAAATTTAAGAGAAATCCCCAAAGACATTTTTGAGTTTTTCAAGTCAAAATTTAAATTACATTTATTCAAATTAAAACACTTGTTTTTACAAAATAACTACACAGATTAAAAAATCTCACGTAAAATACGGTATTATAAGTTTTATTACAAATTTGAAATTTACAAAAATAAATGTAACGGTCAGCTTGATAATATTGTATAGCAAAAATTACCATTATATTTAAACTTTAAAAGATATTATAGGCAGATATTAAACAGCTTATAATTAGTCTAACTATTAAAATTAATATAGTTTTGATCACCTTTGAAAAAAAATAAAGCTATATCTATAAGAATTTAAATGTATATTAACTTTAAGGTGAGGAATGTGATATTCTAGTATTTTAGTGCATTTTGTTCAGAAGTCAATCAAAATTATGTATTGAAGGGTTAATAACAGTAATCACAAACAAAACAAAAAATTATCCAGACATATGACTTCCCGTTATAAAGTTATGCATGAACATAGCTTAAAAATACATAAAGGTCAAATTGATAACCTCCTCCTTTTTTTAAGTCATTTAAATGCCAGATATTCTTATAAATACAATAAAAATTAAGCATAAAAGAAATTAATAGGAGGACACAAGTTACAAGAAAAATAGACAAAGTACTTTGGCATATCGATACTTATAAGGCAAAAGGTCATAAGCAACATTTTTGTCAAAAATGAGTTTTTAATAATTGGCGTCAACGTCAAGATTCTTAATCGATTTAACAGCCACGTTGTTACGATTATTTTATGTACAAATATTGATGTATAAATATTATACTTAAACGCCATTAATTAGGTTCTTACAACGACGGTTTAAATAATATATAATAATTTATTTAATTTTTATATTAATCAATTTACATTAATAAATAAATGGGTTAAAATAAAAATTAGAGCTTTAAGTGATTTCCCAACAGAAAAAAGAGGTGCGATGGTAGTCAGTACCAACTTCACCATAAGGTGAGAACATACGTTTAACGTGTCAAACCCAACTGTCTAACTCTAATTGTGAAATTACTCTGCTAAGTTTAATGTAATGTCATACAATAGACCAGTAAAAGAAAACAGAAAAAGTACTGTACTTTTATTTTGGCTGTCGTGTAAAATTACAAAAATGTCGCTTATAACCTTTGCGTTATAAGTGTCGATATACTGCTCTCCTCTTTACTAGCAAAGCAAAATACAGTCTGATTCAAGAATTAACATTTGACTTAAACCAGAATGGTTGAGTAAAATATGGCATGCTACGATATTAGCAGCAAATAATAATTATAGTTGTTGATGAGTAATTAAAGTCAAGTAAATATTATAAAAACAAATATTTAACATATGACATGAACCTAAATAATGTGCATTGTAAATGGAGGAGCGGCTTTGATTTAGCGACGGTTCCCGAAAATTTGGCAGTCTTTTGGATAGCTGCGCTATATGGCGCAAAATGTTCAGTCTACGAACTTCTTCGCTCATGCTCTGAAAATATACAATATAATTGTAAATGACATTAAACTTGAACATTTACTAAACATTGCATTTAATTTTTACATATAATTTCTTACCAGTCTTTTGGGTGACAATACATTTTCTGCTACAGAACGACCATTATTTTTTGCCGGCGTTCCTGAACAAAAACTCTTCTCCAACTCTTTAATATAAATGTTTAACCGCTCAACATTCCATTCTTGAATAGGCGAAGCATTACTCAGATCACATCTGATTTCCTGTTTTTACGAACATTATATGAATTATTATTTGTCAAGTTAATAGTAATATTATATTATAACTTATACTACAATATACATATTAAAAGTTTAAGGGGCAAGAATACTAATAGTTATTAAGAGGCAAAATATAGGCAATAGTTCACAACATTTTGTTATCTATGACAGATTTTAGTTATAGAAATTTGCTAAAGGGTAGTTGAATAATTATTAATAATAAAAAAATTGATAAAATGTCAAATTTCAATAGGATTTTATTACGAGCAGCTTGGCATTAGAATTCAATGTCTGGGGTTTGTAGCACACTATAAGGAATACATTAAATTTACTATGCAAAAACCCAGTTAATTAAATATTCTCAATAGAAACTATTAGACTAATATTAAATATAAGAGTTTTTCTCGTAAAACGCTTTTTTATTATAAATTAAACTGTACGATGTATTAATATCCTTTTAAGTTGAAACCGTATATCTATTATTAAATAAATTATATAAAACTTTTACACAGTATGAAAATAATTATTTCCCAATAAATTAATTGTCTTTATCGTAAAAAATGGAATACAATTTTACAGGTCACATTAACATTTTTACTTCACCAGTTCTGATTGTAATAGTTTTTTTTTTAGATTTTTATTAAATATTAATAGTTAATTTATTTATATATAAATAAATATTTAAATTGTATGTAATGAAAAACTTAGTGTGGGGACTCAATAGTTAATATAATAAGTCATAATTTAAAAAACCGTAAATAATATATACGTTTTGGACTTTGTGAACAATTGTTAATAATTAAGTAGAGTTACAAAAATTACAAATTAAAATGTTAAATGAAAAAAAATTACAACATTAATAAAAATAATAATAGAATATGACATGTACACACATTTAATATTAGAGTCAATAGGTATTAAAATTCAAAAAAATATATACATGTAAACAATGATTTTAGCTTAACATTTTTATAATATTGTTTTTAAATGTTATTAATACTAGTATTATTATCATTAAAATCATTATAAGATATTATTAATTTTGTTAGTTTCTAATTTAATGAGCACATTGTTTATTTTTTTTTTAAATAAAATTGTTAACATTTTTAATCGCATTGGATTGAAACATTAATACCATCAGTAACGATAAAATATACCCAGTTCTATAAATATCACTCACTCTACAGCTCTCAATTAAGTTATTATCCATAAGATATTGATAACTGGTTCTCAGACTGGACAAAAACTCGAAACTACTATCGCCTCTCCAACAATCTTGTTGATTAGGCGGTTCATTTTTCCTAAAAAAAAAAAAAAACAGTTTAATAGGCGATACGAAAATAGTTATTTTCTGAAATGTAACAATAACAGTTACTTGATTTTTTTGGTGAGGCTGTTATAAGGTCGTTGTTTCACTTGCTGCCCAATCTCTACATTGGTCGTAGAGGGGTGAAGTGACGACAAGGAAAAACATGTTTTAATAGAAGAATTTTCGAAATCTATAAAAAAAAATTAATATTATAAACAAAGTTATTTTGAATTTTGAACAACTTATAACGAGAAATGACTTACTCGCAGGCATTTTGGCGTCTTTTTCGCGGTATGGCATTGACTTAGATCTACAAAATGGCACTGATCGGTGAACGTTTCTCGGAGGCACTGATACAGAGCGGGCCAAACGCCTGCTCAACCGTTGACCACATCGAGGACTGAGCTGGCTACTGCAGCTCCAACAGTATTGGCGTTCTTCTAATCTAAAATCCACCGTAAAAATCAATTAGTATAGAGATTTAAAGTTCTTTGTTTCTACAGAGAATACATCAATAGATAAAGCACAAGATTCCATGACCGACTGCGATTGTAGTTTGGATCGAGTGTAACACAATTTATATCATCTCAAAGTTTGGAACTTTGGGTCCATTCTAAAACAATGACGCGCTTAGCACTCGAGATTCAATAAAAATTGTGAACGATATGCCTATCCAAACCTGATCCACCCCAACCCACAAATCAAATTCAACAAGCACACGAAATAAAATTGAACAGTATACTAAAAATATCTATATAAAATGTATATTGGATAAAAATAAGGGATTTAAAATTATGATTATAAATAAAAAGACATAATGTCAACATCGAGAGAACACTCAAAATTACCTCAGTAGGTAAGATTTGCCTCATTCTTGCCAAGTAAAAAAATGTATTTCATAATACAAACTTGCTTCAATGTAATAAATTTGATAACATTTTGTAAGTCTATTTAATAAACTTTTTTCAGAATTATGTGTGTATTTAATTTTAACAAGTTGTTTAAAGAGAAATAACAAATGTTTTTTAATTAGAAAAGAAGACAACGTATAAATCATTTTTTTTAGGTATAAAATGTTAAAAGCATTTTTAAGTAATATTTTCTTTTCTTTTTAATGGCATTTTTCAAGGTTTTTTAGATTATGTTCATTCGTGTCCTATACTCCTATTGATTATATACATTATACAAACATTAATCTATTTATAATTATACAAGATTTAGATACTATTCAAATTTAAATATCCCACATAAATCGTAAGTAATGAACGAAATAGGTTTGGTTGGTCACAATAATATTAGCTCATGACCGTTTACCGGTGGGCGGTGCCATTGTCATGAATAATAATGATAATTGTTCATTGTTAAACCTATTGGTCCAGTAGTAATTGATTAAAAAAAAAAATTGAATGTGTATTGATTTCCGAGACTAATATAACAAATAATATCACGATTTGTGATTCACGAACAACTAGAAACTTTCACCTACATTTTACCTAGACATTTTTCTTGGCTTCTAATTCTAATTCGACTTATAGCCACGAGTTAAGTCAGATTAGTATACCCCATTCCCCTTATTACTATTCTACGATTATTATATAATATATAATTAAAAAACAAAAAAAATCTGTTTAATAATACCGTACACTTCAATCTATAACATAATATAAATGTTCTATGATAGACCGCTGTTTAGAAATCTGGTTTATGAAACTATGCCAGTTATATATAGTATACTGTAATATTTCATGATCACTATATGACTCTAAAAAAGTTAAACTAATTGAGTGACTGGAGATGAAAAACCCATAGGTATTGTTTTTCAAGAAGTGGCGTAATGGTAATGGTATGCAATATACTGAGACTTAAAACGGTTATTTAAGAGCTACATGTTCATTACTTATGAATACCTATAGGTTATACAAAGTAACTCTTATACTCTTATATTGTCCATGTCATGATAAAGTACAGGCGGACTAAAAAACTTCATTGATTTATGAATGCTTAAAATGTCAATGGTTAAACGCAAAATTTATTTTCGTTTTCAGTATTAAATATGTGTCAACAGTCAGAACATCGGTCAACATACAATATGTTTATTAATTATTATAATATTTTATATCATCTGGGAGACTTGTTGAGTGCGATCCGTTATATTATTATGATTTTCATCTAACTTACGCCATAATCATAACAACAAAACTGATTTATAAATATTGTCATAGTATTATGTTATAAAACCTAAGTAAACGCAATTTCAGTAAACAATACAAAAAATTAAATTTATACAATATACATATACATTTTTTCCCGTGTATTCGTAGAATTGAACTATTAAAAAACCTTACACGATACGAGTAACGGTGAACACTGTGTATTGTATTTGTACTAGTATAAAAAAAGACTGATTATTTTCTCAAGTCGAAATTTGAATAGACTGTTATAAGATTAGAGGCTAATTGATACTAATTGAGAATAAAATATGTATAGTTAGTCAATAGTTATAACGAACCAAAAATCGCACTACTTAGGACACTCACAATACTGATTATACTAATTATCTTATTAAATAATTATACTCGACGGTCTTACCTGTGGTGGCAGTTTTTGATTTTGAACGATCGATTTGTCTTGTACGTTTTGATTGTTCGACATCGGTACTGTAAATTAAAAAAAACACCAAAATTAAAATTTTAAAACGTGTAAATATCGAATAAATAAATGTATGTTATTGTTTGCTGAAACAACATACCGAACCTTGACCTATCTCCCATCATAAAGAAGTATTCTTAAACAGGTTTGCAATCATACCTTGATCTTAATAATTCCAGAAAATAATTTTCCATTTGCAATTTTTAAACGACTTTAGTATATTTAGTCATATCACATTTGATTATATAATTACACAATATATTCTATTGGTCTCTTAGAAGATTTTATTGTTATTTTTCTTGCACTTTTTCCTGCTATGTGGCACCAACGGCAAAATTTGCAAAATTAAATTATTTGATTTTCATATTGCATTAAAACATATTTTTAATTTCTTTTGAAAGGATGTTAAAATTGCATAACAAAAAAATAAAACAGTATCCATTAATCTACAAAAAATAGTTACTCTGGTCATTATCATACTGAAAACCGCAATTATAAAAAAAACATTGGAAAACTTTAATTGTAAAAAGCCATCGGCAGCTATGGCGGGAAATGTGCTTGAGGGTGAAACACATTGTTTATTATTCATCTTAAAAAGGCATCCGTGTACAGAGAATACGCCCAGTTGCCTCAGAAAAAAGAAAAAACAAGAAATGTAAAATGATTAAAAACCAAAAGTGATACCATTTTAATTTTTCGAAGTGATTCCAGACATTTGTCCGTGAGGACCTTCTTTTAATCAGACTAAAATATTTGTCATCTAAATGTGTTTCCCATACCGGGTGGGGTTCCCCGCCAATACCCAATGTTTATTATTGTGGATATTATATACTCTGGAATAGACTCAAGGCACGAATGTATAAAACTCAACGATTATACCCCGAAAGAAAAACGAACTGTAATAAAATACACGCTTCGTCTTATTTGTTCAAAAAAAAAGAACACAACAGTTTTATTAATTTATAGGTAAATGTCAGATAGTAGACATGCCAGAGGAAGAAGAATAGGTAAATGACGTAAATGCTTGGAAGTTAAGCGACAAGGCCAAGAAAATTGTACATCGTTTTTGTATAGACACTCTGTCTTATATGTCTATGTCACTAGAGTGGCCCTTAGCTATAGAAGAAAAAAACTTAAATATTTTTGATATTTTATCCCCTTATTTTGTTCAATACCGCAAGAGAATAATTTAGGTAAAATGTTGGTCATAATTACTCACCCCTTTCATGTTCAAGTGTACTAAGACTAATTGAGAATAATTACTACTAAGAATAATAAGTAATTGTCGCATTTTTTATGTCAACAAAAATAGTATAAAATTTGTTTGATTTAAAAATAAAACTATACACATTACCGTGTCATTATCGTAAAGGGCCTATTCCGTCGACGTGGAATTAAGACCCACTCAATTTCATGAAATCACCCTTATTTAAGACTAATCCGAAATAAAACTGGATTCGTCAAAATGGGACCTTATCGTGACATATACTTAAAAACTTAATATTTTTTATTCTAAAGTTTATCATTTAATCAACTTTTGTTGGATGAATACAAAACCAAAAGACGATAACATTTAACGGCCAATTTCGTTTATGTCATTACCTAGTTTTCAGTTTGAACTTTTGATTCCATTAAAATTAGTTCTTAATTCACTTTGTGTAATTTATTATTTATTTTTTTTTTTTTTTACTATAGCCCGTCATTGCGTTCCTATTAACGACGATTTATGCACAAAACTCGTGATTAAATAATAATAAATGTATCCTGTTGTGTCACTTTATACATATTCGACCACGACTCTACGCACCGTGTACTCACCCCTGCCGATGACGTCATTTTATACAACGTTATTGCATGCTTATACCGTTCATACGGCCACACGGCCGTTAATTAAAAGAAATTAGCTCCAACCCTTGTGCGGTGCCTAAAGCTGTTTGCGAAGGAAAGCAAGGCAGTTATATTAATAACGCTTAACGACTTGTTTGTTGTGTATACTTATTTCCAAAACCTTTACGCTGGCGCATCAATTTCCTATCCCTCTGTACTTTTATCTGTTTTACCGGGTAAACAAAAACCGCACGTCCACGTCGTCGCCCCTTGGGTTAGTCATACCTTAGATCGTCTATACTCGTAGCTAAACAAACAACAGACCACAGCACATTTTTAAAATCATTTTATCTTTATTGAAAACCGAAACAAGACAACTTTGAACATATATGAATATAGAACTCGGCATTATCTCGGTTAAAACATCGAACACATCTAAAACATATTTGGCATCATATTATTTAACATTAAACTTAATAAAGCGAGATTTGTACTATACACGTTTTTTGTTTCCATTCGTGACCGTAGAACTGACACTATATCTACCGATAACGATTTGTAAATATTGTAAGACTGAACAACTGTAATAATTAAATGTTTAAAAATAATTATTTATATATATACGCAATTTGTAACTAGGTACAAGTCACAACAATTATATGAAACTCGTAACGGGTGACAGTAAATTGAGTAACTTGCCCAACCCTGAAAATATATAATATATACAGCGTTGGTTTACATATATATATATATATATAATATATATAGTAAGCCAACGCTGTTAGGTGTACACGACTGTTTAGGAAGTTGTAAACATGTGTAGTGCAAATCGAAAACCATTAGTTAATTTTGTAGTATAAAATAATTGTTTATTATAATTAACATAATAGGTGTATTTCGTTGAAGAAAAACACATTGAAACATTACATCATACCATAAGTAATGTAAAATGTTATACACCACATTAACTTCTTTCATTTATTTAGTTACAAAATTAATAATGGTTCTTTGAGCAATAACCACCGATGTGTAAATGCTATTTTAATGTTTTTTTTTATTATGTTTATATTTTTTATTATGATTTATTAGTCAATAAGCTTCGGTGCAAAGGCGAGGAGACATTGATTTTTTAATTTGATTTTTGTTCCCACAATTATTACTTGTGATTTGTGACCTATCCTTGTATTTTAAGACGATCTGTCATCATCCTATCATAATTCATTGTCTTCGACAGGACTTAGCACGTGGCCATTGACCTACAGTGAGTGTTGTTCAAAATTCTTGTGAGGGGGCGTAGACGGATTACCTAGTCGACAGGTTCAAAATCACAAAATCTAAACATACTTATAATGTGGTCGTTGTTGAGGTCAATTGAAATTAAAGCTCACGATGGATTTCTACACAATAATAATAATAATAATAATAATATGAAAACTACAATCATAATAATACCTAAGGACTCGACGGAAAAGTGTAAACGAAATCATGATCTTGATCATGACGGGTCATAATATTGTTGGAATATGTTTTATCTTCTTCCTGTGGACATGACCCTGGTCCAGCAAGGACTACCTGTGGCTATATGGAAGCCACATAACTTATACCTACACGAGCTTGCTTCTGCTTCGCTTCACCGTATGTTAAGTACATAGAAATTATTTATTTACCTAGTAGTTATCATACTGGCACATGCTTGACCGTACGGGATATGATCGAATGCACTACACCGAATGAAAAACAAACGTTATGAAATCTAATAAATGTATTTTTTTTCACCGCTATAGCCTTCCCAACGCTACCGAAGAATAAAATAGTAAAACTAAACACAAACTGAAAAATATACAACAGCTAATAAGTAACAGCCAGTAATAAATTACATGTCGTTTAGCATCGAGTTTGGTAGAATATTCAAGTTTGAAGGTAAATTAGAACAAGAACGTTAAGGTGAATAATAATAAATATTATTTCCGTCATAACACGCTTAAGAATGATAATTAGGCGTAATTAAACATTATTTTACCAATAAAATAGTAGAATGAAATTAAACGATGACCGTATAATATAATGTCACCTTGCACTTAAAAATGGAACGGTAATAACTATAGTAGATTATTGTTTAATTTGTATACAGACTTGAGTCAAGTATTAATTATTATTTTTTCATTGTATGAGAGAGAGAAATTAATGATTAATACATTTTTTTTTTTACCATTATTGAGACCAGACAATTAGGTTAGGTGAATATTAATTTTGTACATACACAATTAACGTATATTTTAATTGTTAGAATACCGTTTTTTGTTAACTTTAAGTCACAAGCAAGTTATGCACTTACACCTCTAAACGGACGCATTGGGCGCAGATGGATGTGTTATGAAAACCACACGGTAAGGGTCACTGCAACATCACAGACGTCGCATCGTTGGTATACTATTATCAATGCTGACGGTGATAAATCGTTCTCTAAACGTTGTGAAGTTCCCGTCGATTGCTGTGGTCGCAACCGTGGCGAACCGGCTGACGATAACCTAAATGACCACCACTGGGCACTGATGGACACTGTATTCTACACACACGCTTTGAACGCAAAACCCTAACCCATTTTACTCCAGTAGACATTGTAAACAAACTCCAGAAACGATTCATTTTAAAACCATGTTTTATTATTAAATGATTCCATGAAGTCATCCGATGGAAATAGTCATAGTAGGATCGTAATAAAAATCAAGATAGATTGATTATATGTATTTTTATTAATCATTTACCAATAATAGCAACGTGGTAACAGTGTTTTAGAGTTTTTGGTAAAGTAGTAGAGTAACAAAATATTAAAAAAAAAAAATGGTACAGACAACTGATAAACGAACAGATTATTAGGAGTGAGACCTCTATGATTTTCGAAATTGCTGTATAATATTACAAAAAGCCGTTGGGTTGCTGCATACATTGAAATAATCAATTAAAATTTTCCTTTGGTAGTTTACAATAACAAAGTTTCTTCCTCATTAAACGAACAACAATATTATTATTAAATTATAAAGCCACCTGCCCTCCCCCTCCCCCCCACATGTAGAATTTTGAGATAAAAAATTACTGTACATTTTTTTTATATATATTTACATAATTTACATGTACATCAGAAATCAGATGCTAACAATATTTTAAAGTTTTTAGTTTTACC